CMAWWWTTTWWWAARSCCCCCCCCCCAAAAAAAAAAAAGAAAAAAAAAACTATTCCCTTTGCTCCACCTGGTACTGACTACAACTGCATAGAAGTACGACTCCTATATCTAGGTACTAATTCCTGAATGCAGTCAGATCATTTACTACTGCTACTGTTCTACTTTCTCTCTCAACTGCCAATTTATCCCCTAGATCTCTTAATCCCCATTATCTCTTTCACTTACCCTTTGTTTCGGCTATTAAGCAACTATTGGCAACACCTTAATTCTTTCTATCCCCATAAAATCCTTCTAGACTTCTAACCAACCTTTCCTATTAAATATGCATTTTATGCTTTGTTTTAAACCATCTTTATTAACCTATAAAACCTGCTTTCCTTCATTTTGTTAAATTTTGCAAACTTTTGCAAGTTCTGTTTAGCCCCAACTACTTGTGAAAATTAAGCAGAGTATGACACCAAGCAAACTGAACTGTACAGGGCCTTATGGACAATTGCCAGCTTGACACAGATTATTTTTTGGAAAAGTAAATAAGAATTCCATTAAAAATAAAAGAATACAAAATGAAGGTGATAAGATATCACCTGAGAGAAGAAAAGACGAACTGTGACACAGCTTTCACAAAAATATCAGCAAACTACAAAACTCTAGCAGCATAGAGATCTAACACTCCAGGGCCAGATCCTCAGACAACTCCACAATTGATAACCTGTGACACAAGCAAACAGAGCCTAGCGGAAACAGGACTCTAATCTTCACCTTCAAACACCTCCTCCTGCGTATCATCATCTTCATCCTACATCCCTCCTCTTCCAGTTACACCTTTCTTCAAGCTTTCTTCCCTCTTCCTCCTCTCAAACTCTTCAAAGGCTTTCCTGGCAAACTTCCTCACCACCCCAGAAGAACCTAAAACTCCCACATGCATCCCCAACATCCCTGAATGTTTGAAAGCTCCAGGCATGTAAAGGCATACTGAAAATGTTTATCCAGACGAAGCTTGAAGGCCCCACATTTCTCAACACCCTGACAAGGGGGTTCCACCTCCCCAATTTTTTTAGAAAGAGCAGCCTACCCTAATTTTTTTTGTTTCCCCAGCCCCAATCTTTTTTGTTAAAACATATAGAACCATGCATCATATTGTTCCATCTCCCCATTTTTTTTTAGAAAGAGCAGCCTACCCTAATTTTTTTTGTTTCCCCAGCCCCAATCTTTTTTGTTAAAACATATAGAACCATGCATCATATTGTTCCATCTCCCCATTTTTTTTTAAAAAGAGCAGCCCACCCTAATTTTTTATGTTTCCCCAGCCCCAATCTTTTTTGTTAAAACATATAGAACCATACATCATATTGTTCGCTAGTAACTTAGGGGTKTCCCCTCGTATATACAAAGACATTCTTGGTCTAACAAAAAGGATAAATAAAAATTTAAGTTCCCAATAAAAATGGATAAATAAAAGAGGATAACAATAAAAGACCCAACTAACAATGGTTAAAGCCATCTGACCTAGCAAGTAATCACATATATGTAGCATGATATTACAAATCTGATATGAATCCTTAACCTCATCATACTTATGAAACATTTACCTGATCATAGAATCAGATGATCCCGACAAGCAAAACCTGCAGCATGATGATGAAAAACCTGAGTACATCACATGATACAATTTCTTACCCTTTTCTGGGACTGGTACATTACATGATATAGTAACAAGAGAGAAACAGATCAAAAACAAAACTACAGTAGGCAGAACACAACTACAAAAAGACATTTTTCAATACATGTTATATTTTTAGGGTGATCCCAGCAATCTTGGGGCTTATGAGGGGTGGACTGGATAGAGTTCTAACATGTGATGGTTTAAGTAACACATAGTGACCAGTGTCAGACTCAAACTCAAGTTCTCATGCCTGTCAGCCCAAGTTTTAACCATTGAACCAAGTAACGGCGCTATGTATGTATCTATGCATGTATAAGTGTGTTTATCATTTGTCCCTTTTCTATTTCTTACCAGTAAGATTTTTTTCTTGATAACTGGTGAATATGTATTTTTTTACAAGTAAAAAAGAAAATTCATTAAAAAGAAAAAGAAAATACAACCTAGAGAAGTGTTGAGGAAACACCTCCAAACAAAGCTAAGGAACAACATTCTCCCAAACACTTTCCTTTCAAAACTTTTTCACCCAAATCCCATCACAACAACCCCTCAAATATCTTACAAAACCAACCACCCCAAAAGAAACATAAAAGCTAAAACCCAGAATCTGAAACATCCGCATAAGCACACAAACTAAGCCCAGGAACCAAATGCAGAACAACCACAGATGCACAAGCCTCACCCTTTCACCTGCAGCATACCAATAGAACACTTCATTCTTCATCAACAATGTCAAACTCCTCTCCTTATAACTAGTGAATATGTATTGCGTTAAAGCAAAAGGAGGAACAACGTGCAAACCAAAACTTAAGACAAAAGCAGTCCTGAGACAGCCATGCAAAAAAGAGAAGCAAAAAAGGGTGCAAAAAAAACAAAAAAAAAAATGACCATATGGCATTACATAACCCACAAAATGGAACATACAAGGAAATTTTTTGCAAGTAAATTGGCACAAATCTTAATATCCACCAGATAAGATGCTCAACTTAAAAGATGAAACATGAACCTCTCAGTTACATTAAGGTGATTAGGCCTTATCTCAGCCTCAAATTTGTTTTCTTCCATTGTCAGTATTAGCATCATATGGAGTCTCTTTTCAGCTTCAAACAGTTAGTCATTTGTTCATATCTTGCAAAATTTCTGATTTCATATGGAATCTCTTCACAGCATTGTTTGGGGTAAGAAACTTTCAGCCAAGGTTTCCTTCACAGATTTTCTCATCATGGCCAATGCTCAGAGACAGTAAGAAAGTAAGAAAGCAAGGTTAATTTGGAGCTGCATACCTTTTGCATTCTGCTGGAACATCTGGAAGGAAAGAACAGAAGAGTGTTTGAAGATAAAGCTAGGAATTTGGATAGGCTGGTGACAGCTGTTGGCAAATCTGTCTCAGAATGGGTATTGGAACTTCCAGAATTCAAACAAGTCAACAAAGAGGACCTTGGCAACAGGCTTTGGGAAGTTTTTGGGTTAAAATTTGTAATCTGGATGATTTATTTGGTATGTATTGGTGTTTTAGTGTTGCTTGCAGGTGTTGCCTTAACATCTGATTAGATTGTAATACTTTTTTTAATGAAATTTTTGCTTTTACTATCAAAAAAGTATTAGCATCACTTRCATATAAATTTTTAAGTTAAAAGAGGGTTTCTTGTGAAACAGAACAGAGGGCACAACAAGTGTCACGTTGTAGAGTGGATCATAGTGGTCAAGGCAATGCCTCAGTAGGTGCCTAGGCGACTAGGCGGTTTTCAAACTTCACCTCGCCCAAACGCCATGTAATTTTTTTAAAAGGTGCATGCCTAGGCGACTAGTGTGCGCTTAACTCCAAGGAGGCACCTAGATGCAAGACACATTATTTTTTTTTTTTTTGAGAAAATTTAACCAGAATTTATTAAGACAAAAAGGGGGGGATCAAGAGGAGATATACAAAGCAGGGGGGAACCACTACAAGTTACAAAGGAGGAAGCTTGTCGCTATACAAATGTTCCAAATACACACCAAATTTAGCTAGGCCATCTGCAGTATGATTGTGATCCCTAGGAATCCAAACTAAGTTAATATTCAAACCATCCAAAGAATCCCAAGCTTCAGTCAGATAGTGATACAGTCTCCAAGGGCCCCCTTTTTTGTCTCTTAACCATTTTATCATATTTGCTGAATCACCTGCAATTATCAAATTCTGAATTCCCAAATTCTTTATTATCCTGATTCCGGTGAGAGCAGGCATCACTTCAGCCTTTGTGGAGTCGGCCCAACCGATTGGACCACTAAAAGTCCAGCAGATTTCACCCCTTTCGTCATTTACTGTGCCACCAATACCTGCAAGGCCCGGATTACCTAAGGCACAACCGTCAAAATTAAGGGTTATCACACCTTCACTGATGGATACGGGATGCCTCAAGGATGTTTGCTGGGGATGAGGCAGAAACAAAAAGGGGTGAATATCTCTGATAAGATCATTAACTGAAAGTCCTTTAAACATAGCTGAATTCACCGACCAAAGTATGCAAAAATAGGTAATATCTGAGATTAACACCTCCAAGGTTCTGCTTTTATTGTCGAAGATACGGTTGTTTCTTTCATCCCAAACACCCCACATCACTGCATGAGGCACTGATTGCCAAAAGACTTTACCCCTTTTGCTAAGCCCTGTTCCTTGCCATTGATTCAAGTTGTCCATAATGTGTTTTGGAAAAGCACAGCTGTACCCTGCCATATTCAAGAAGTGGGACCATATCCTTTGAGTGAAACTGCAATGAAGAAGAATGTGATCTGCAAATTCACCCTTGCTGAGACATAAAATACAAACATGAGGAGAAATGGAGCGTCTTCCCAAAAGTTTTTTCTGTAGGAGATCACAAGTATTAACTTTCTAGAGACAGGCTTCCCATACAAAGAAGCAAATTCTTGAGGGGATGTGGCTGCACCAGATTTTCTTGTAAGGAAAAGAGGAATGCTGATCTTCAGCAGTCAAAGCCCTGAACATAGACTTAGAAGAGAATTCGCCATTTGGGTAAAGGGTCCATATTCGGGTGTCAGAATGAGAGGGGGATATGTAGGCATCTTTGAGGGTTTGGATTAAGGCTATTAAGTCAGAAATCTCTGAGTCCCTTAGGGGTCTTCTGAGGTGGAGGTTTAAAGAATTCTCGGCGGTCTGGTTTGGGATGCATGAAGAAATAGGGGGTGAATCTACATGATTTTTTTTTTGTCTTTTCCTGCAAATAATTTTTATTGGTTTGTTTTTTTTTTATTATAATAAAACCTATCACACATTATCACTCTTTTTATTAGAAGAATACTAGCAAACCTTTTGTCATTTTTAGGGTTTATTTTCATGGCAGAACTGAAAATAAGAGGGAGAGCTGTCTGGTCAGATTTGTTTCACACACAATCCAACTCCAACCTGTTGCTGCAATGCTGCATAACCGAAAAGGAAATCTAAACAACTTCGAACAGTTTTCAGTCCCTACGTTTTTTCCAATAGAGGGTGAATCACCCTCTTCTTTTTTTTTGTCTTTTCCCTATGTTTTTTGCATGATTTTTTTTGGACTAATTCATTTACCTGCACTTTTTTCCTGGAACAGGGGTTCTGCCCCCTTTTCTTCTTCATTTCTCTGAGTTTTTTCATCATTTTTTCCTCTTCATTGGTGGTCTGAAACAGGGGCTCTGCCCCCTTCTTTTCATTTTCTTCTCTTATTTTAGTGTTTCCCCAGTTTTTCTTGGTCTAAAACAGCAGCGGAGCCCCTTGTTCTTTTTCTTTTTTTGGTCTAAAACAGGGGCTCCGCCCTCCTCTTTTCTCCTTAAGTTCATTTTCTTTTCTTGGCCAAATACAGGGGCTACACCCTCTTCAGTTCTTTTAAGTCCGAATTTCTATTTCTAATATTCTGTGTTGCATACTTTAAGTACAACTGCAAGAATCATAAGCAGAAAATTTAGTTTAGAGGTTTGTAGGTTAATGTATAAAACCAAGTAACTAGCTCATGAGGGGTAGAAACATGTAGGCTTCCTATTTTCTGATTTCATCGCCTAGGCGCTTGAGTGCCCCATGGTTGCCTAGCCTCGCCTTCACGCCTTGAAAACTACGAGTGAATAAAGTAAGCTTTAAGATTGCTACTTTTCACAACCAGAGCCATTCAAGAATGGTGATTGAAAGAATGAGAAGGGCAGAATGGACAGAAGAAAGGCTTCTGTTCTTATCAAAGATTAAAGGCACAATGGCACAATACCCATTGTGCCAAGCACCCTTTCAGTGAGCTAGGCAGCTAGCACCTGCTACCTACCCATAGTTGTCAAGACACCTAAGCAACAAAGTTCCCATGGATGATCACCATGCCCAAGTGTCTTTCTTTTTTATACAAGACGCTATATAATAATCTTATATTTTTTGTTTTCTGAGATTATAATCACAAAATAAACATTATTGCATTAAATTATTCATCTTGAGGGTTTATATACTAGTTTCTTTTTATTAATTTCTTATTTGTTAGGGATAAAACAACACACATGTTTGTCAAGCTATCTTTAACCCTTAAAACAGGAACTCAGCTCCTGTGTTTTCTGAATTTTCTTTTCTTTCTTCTTTTTCTTCTCATGAATATATTGATTTTCTATATTCTGATATGAAGTTTATAACTTATCATGAAGATTATTGACAATTACTGGGAAAAAGATGATAGCTGGTTGCTATGGAACCTGGGGAATTACCCTAGGATTTAGGGTTTTATTTAAAAATTAAAAAATAAAAATAAAAGAAACATTACAGAGGTGCCTAGACAATCAAAGAGTTCAGAGTTAGAAGAAATATGAGGTTTATGCCTTCAGGATCAACTTGAGGCAAGGCTCAAGGAAAAGGCCTCATGGATCAACCTTGAGGGCCATGCCTGAAAGTATAAGGAGCATTCCTCAAAGCTTGAGACTTCTTGTGAGGTGTTTCTACATATGTATAGTTTCTCACTGTATATAGATGGGCTTTGCCACCCTCTCATTTTAAAGAATTAATAATACCACACTTTGCCTTCTACACAAGATATTCACCGAAACAATTTTTAATTTTTTGTTATTATTTGAACCATAGACTTTCTTTTSGAAATTGCCTACCTTCTTGGGCTCTGATTAATCCCCTAAACCCTTTTCTATTCTAATTAAGATCTCCATCAATGGAGTAGAATACAAAAAGCAGAACAACATAAATGTTTTATTAAAAGAATAGAAGTCTTAATTCTTTGCTTTTGCATCCTCCATCTTCTTTCTTGTACAAAACTATCTCCATGTGACTGATTCCACAAATTTCCTAGGTTTAGCTTCATGTCCTCCACCATTCAAAATATCAAATTGAATTTTGACAGAAGCTCTCTTTAGGAACTCTAGAGTCTAGACCATCTGGAATCCACCTTGGGGGTTCACAGATCACAATGATTCTGTTATTTGGACCTATAGTGAGCCGATAAGGGATGTGGATGCCTCCAAGACCGAGGTTGTCCTCACAGGAACATTAATTTCTGAAGTCTCTTATTAACAAGCCTTGGTCAGGTTGCATGATAGGGTTGAAAGGAAGGCCAATTGTTTTCATTCATTTAAGAAAAAAAATAAGGAAAAAAGTAACTGATTATTAAGAAACATTAAGAAAAGATAACTACTAAGAAAACTATAATTAACAATTAGGAAGTGAAAATTCCCTTTCTGATCTGATAAGCAGGTTTTAGAATCTGCTAGTTATAGAGCTCTATTGTTACTAACATATGCCTTCAACCCTTCCACATTATCTTGGTTCATATCTCTATATGAAACCAAGTGTGTTTGCATTTTTCAAGTCAAATTTCAAATAATAAAAGCAGAACAAACAAGTATGAATAACATTTTTCAGGTTGCGGTGGAAATTACAGTCAATGGGAAAATGAATTTTGGCTAAAAATTTAAACAAATTGAACATGATAAATTGCACATCTAACTGAACCGACCTGCCAGTTGGATCCAGAAGCAGAGCCCTGATGTTATCAGTATGGCCTCTTAGCTTCATTGTCTTTGAACCAGTTCTTGGATCCCAAACACGCAAAACCTACATAGAAGATTATGGAAACCAGAAAATTGATTGCAGAGAGGAAAAAAATGAAACAAATAACTAGGATACCAAATACCAGCAATCAAATAATACAATTAACCCCCGGACCACATACTTAGACACCTCCTATAGTTTCACTTATTTACTAAAGTGTATCCTCTAGTGTGTGTTATTAAAACACCCCCACCCCCTATAGCTTGCAACTGCTTTATTTAATCAACCTTCTGTCAGCAACTGTCTGTATTTCTGTCTGGGAAAGGTTATTATTATAAACCTAATCTGCACTAGAATTTTGTTAGAATTAGAGTTGAAGAGATAATAGAAAGACTAGAAGAAGTAGAAGAAGAAGAGAGGAGAATAGAGAAGAAGAAGAATTCTGGTTCGAACTAGAGAGAATGATCACCTCTCTAGTCGGCCAGATTTAACTTATGTTTCTATTCATAAAAACAAAAGACTCCTTTGCCCCTACTTAAGTATGGAACACATCAACTAACAGAACATTACACATCTGCTTTAAAACATAACTATAAAGACTAAAAGACCCTTACACAGTCGACACTAACACTACCCCTCAAGCTGGTGAGCACGTATCATATAGTCCCAGCTTGTTACATATGTAGTCCACTCTCCCCTGACTCAATCCTTTGGTGAAATGCCCATTGATTTCCCATGTTAACATATGCAGTATCTATCACTCCACTCAGCACCTTCTCTTTCACAAAGTGACAGTCAACTTCTATATGCTTTGTTCTCTCATGAAACACYGGATTAGAAGAGATGTGGACTGCAGCTTGGTTGTCACAATAGAGCTTCATTGGAGTGTCAATCGAATATCCCATATCCTGTAGAAGATTTCTCAGCCACACTAATTCACAAGTGGTATGTGCCACAGCTCTATATTCTGCTTATGCACTGCTTCTTGCCACAACTGTCTGTTTCTTACTTTTCCATGTCACCAAATTACCCCCAAGGAAAGTACAATAACCCGTAGTGGATCTTCTGTCAGATATAGAGCCAGCCCAATCAGCATCAGTATATTCCTCTATTTCATGTTTTCCTCCACTCTTATATATCAAGCCACGACCAGGAGCTCCCTTCAAATACCTTACAATCCTTAGAACTACATCCCAATGTGGAACCCGAGGTTTCTGCATGAACTAACTCACTACACTAACTGCAAATGAAATATCTGGTCGGGTAATACTTAGGTAGCTTAGTTTACCCACCAACCGCTTGTACCTTCCAGGATCTTCAAACTCTTCACCCAAATCACTGCTCAACTTAGTATTTGATTCCATAGGTGTTTCAGCTGGTTTGGCACCTAATAATCCTGTTTCTTCCAACAAATCAAGAACATATTTCCTCTGACACAAATTAATACCATGCTTAGACCTTGCTACTTCTATCCCCAAGAAGTATTTTAGTTTACCAAGGTCCTTTGTTTGAACGTGTTCCTGTAGAAAGATCTTTCCAGTCTATCACTCCCGATAATGACAATATCATCTACATATACCACCAATAAGATCTTTCCAGCCTGCGAGTCACAACTGAAGACTGAGTGATCAACTTGACACTGTTTCATACCAAACTTCTTTACCACTTCATTGAACCTACCAAACCACGCACGAGGAGATTGTTTAAGTCCACAAATGGCATTCTTTAGTCTACACACCTTACCATCCTCTTCCTGAGCAACAAACCCCGATGGTTCTCCATATAGACTTCCTCAAGTAGATCACCATGTAAGAAATCATTCTTGATGTCAATACCATATGATTGGAAATACCCTTTGCAACCAGTTTAGCTTTTAACTGTTCTATACTACCATCAGGTAAATACTTAACAGTGTATACCCACTTACAACCAACATCCTGCTTACTAGGAGGAAATGTGATGAGATCCCACGTATGATTATGAGTTAAGGCAGAGAGTTCTTCTTCCATTCCACGGCGCCACCCTAGAGAGGCAAGGGCTTCCTGGACATCCGTAGGAACAGTAATAGAAGATAACAAAGAGATAAACTGGCGATGGGAAGCAAAAAGGTGAGTGATAGAAACATAATTAGAAATAGGATGAAAAGTGCAACCACATTTACCTTTCCGCAAAGCAATCGAAAGATCAAGATCAGAAACTGGGGTTGAAGTTGGTGTGGGAACAACAGTCGGATCTGTCGACGATGATGGAGCTAGGGAGGAGCCAGTACATGTTGTCGATGTGTATACACTTGACGAATAGATGGCCGCTCAATAAGAAGTTGCACCGGAGGCAAACACTTGGTCACAGCCGGAACAAGTAGAATGGGGTCCTCAACTGGAACTGGAAGAGGAGGTGGTGGTGAGGAAGAAGAAACATCACCTGACCCCGAGAAAAATGGAGTGGACTCAAAGAAAGTAACATCAGCACACACCAAGGAACATCGAGAGCTAGGGTTATAACACTTATACCCCTTCTGGGTCCAAGAATAGCCAAGGAAAATACACTTTATGGATCGTGCATCTAACTTGTCCCTTCCCGGTCCTAGATTATAAACAAAACAGACACACCCAAAAGCCCGAGGAGGAAAGGGATACGGAGACAAGGTAGGAAACAAAGTGGTGAAGGGAGAATGACCTTCAAGGATGGACATAGGCATCTGGTTGATCAAAAAGCAAGATGTAAGCACAGCATCACTCCAAAAAGGTTTAGGTACATTCATATGGTGCATAAGGGATCGAGCAGTTTCCAAAAGGTGACGGTTCTTTCTCTCAGCTACCCCATTTTGTTGTGGGGTGTAGGTACATGAAGTCTGATGGATAATGCCATGTTGTTCCAAATACTCCTGAAATGGTGTATAAAAGTATTCACGGCCATTATCGGAACAGAGAATCATAATGTGTTCACCAAATTGGTTGCAAATTTCAGCATAAAATTTTTTGGAAATGGAAAACAATTCACTCCTTTCTTTCATTAGGTAAAGCCACATCATCCTTGAATAATCATCAACAAAAATAACAAAGTATTTATAACCATTATATGACATTATTTTATTTGGACCCCAAACATCTGAATGAACTAAAGAAAAAGAACTCGACATACAATTATCAACCCTACGACTAAAGGGAACACGATAATGTTTCCCCAACTAACATGACTCACAATCCAAAACAGAAGGACGACTCAACGATGGAACAAGAGACTTCAAAACTTTTAAGTGATGGATGACCAAATCGACAATGCCATTGAAGAGGAGAAAGAGATGTCCAAAGAGTTGTTGACGCATTGCCACCACCATCAAGGTAATACAGTCCACCAGCTCCATGCCCTCCACCAATCTTCATCCCCATCTTGAGATCCTGAAAAACACAAGAGGAAGGGTAAAAAGTGATAGAGCAATTAAGAGATCTGGTCAACTTACTAACAAACATAAGTTATAGAGGGCATCTAATCAGCTGGATGACCCTCCTGTCTAGAACTACCATCACTGGTCACCGCATGATTTGCCCAAGTTGAAGGTAGGCCATGCAAATCATAACAATAATTGATGGTATGTCCTTCCATACCACAGTGCRTACATCTTCTTGAACCAGAACTATGTCCTCTACCACGAACTCCCCCTGAATCTTGACCTCCAATACGTCCACCACCACGACTATACATAGGTCCACCACCACTACGACCATACACCGGTCCACTACTACCACTACGGCCAGATTGAGCTCCCCGAGCTCCATCTCTAACACCACGGCCTCCTCCTCTTGACACTGCAAAGGCCAACCTATCAGAGATACTAGAATTCTCTGTAGGTCCAATAGAGATCCTCCGAAGAAGAGCAAACACCTCTTCTAAGGATGGAAGAGCTGACCCTCCTAGTATTTGTGCCCTCACTGGTTCATATTCAGATTTCAGTCCTACCAAAAAATATAGTCACATCTAGTTGTTCTCTCTGCAGTTGCTAAATTTTAACATCTGAGGTGAGAGGATGGTACACATTCAGCTCATTGTGAAGGTTTCTCATGCTAACATAGTACTCCTCAAAACTCTGATTACCCTATTGCAGATTAAAGTAATCCTGATAAAGCTAATACACTCTAGTTGTGTTGTCTTGTCCCGAATACAACTTCTTAGTATGGTCCCAAACTTCCTTGGTTTTATCAAGAAACATGAAATTCATATTGATCTTGGGTTCCATACTATTCCATAACCAGGTTATAATCTATGCATCCTCTTGTTCCCAATCACCATACTCTTGAGACTTAGTAGAGGGTTTTTCTTCCCTTATATGCTTCACTTTCTTCTTAGCTTTAAGAAAGACTTCTACAGATTTCGCCCAAGACACATAGTTTTCCCCATTCAATTTGATAGAAGTCATTTGAACATTCAGGTAGTCGGTGGGAACCACTACACTAGTTTTGTTTTCATTGTTATCTCCCATAGCTGAAAAAAAAATTCTTCCTAATTCACCTCTCACCACACTGCACTCAGCACCACTTGTTGCTGAATTCTTCACTCTCCACACACAACCCTACTACACAACTACCTGAATTCTCACCACACTACTTGGAACTCACTAACCATTCGATCCACACTGAAATCTGCACAAAACCCTAATACACAACAACCAGAATTCTCACCACACTACTTGGAACTCACTACCCATTTGATCCACACTGAAAACTGCACAAAACCCACTTACCTAATCACCAAAAAATCAACCTACACTCAACACTCCACTGCATCACTCAAACCAGCCCTCTTCTCACCATCGATTAGGGGGGGCTTCCAACGAATCACTGCAAACACCCACAAACTTGCTGACTGGAGGCATAGAAACCTCCAAGGGAAGAGGGTGACACTCCTTTTCAGCCCCTTTCCCTATCTCCACTCGATGATGAAGAAAAAATAAAAAAACCTAGGCTGAATGCGAGAAAACCAGAATTCTGGGCAGATTAGGGTTTTGTCACAATGGCTCTGATACCATATTATAAACCTAATCTGCACTAGAATTCTGTTAGAATTAGAGTTGAAGAGATAATAGAAAGACTAGAAGAAGAAGTAGAAGAAGAAGAAGAATTCTAGTTCGAACTAGAGAGAATGATCACCTCTCTAGCCGGCCAGATTTAATTTATATGTTTCTATTCATAAAAGCAAGACTCCTTTGCCCCTACTTAAGTATGAGACACATCAACTAACAGAACATTACACATCAGCTTTAAAACATAACTATAAAGACTAAAATACCCCTACACAATCGACACTAACAGTTATTTTACCTCTTAAAATGAGTGAAAATGTGAAAGGACAAGGCTCCAAGGTTTTTTATTCCAACAATACCTCCAGAAATTCTCATATCACATGCACTACATGCTATCTCTAGACCAAGTTATAATGTGGGGGTGGATTTTGTTTCTAAAAGGTAGATACAATAACTACTAGGGGTACTTTTGGAATAAAAACCCTGAGCATATGCCCTTTCACATTTTCCACACATTTTAAAAGGTTACATGACCATTCCAAGATGAAAATATAAATGGTTCCTGATGGAAGGTCTATTAAGTAAAGTGGTTGCAAACTATAGGACGTGCTTTAGTAATATGCAAACTAGAGAGTAGGTCTTAGTAAATATGTGAAACTACAGGGGGTGTCCAAGTGACCCTTAACCCCTTCAACTCAATATAGAGTATAGACAACTAAGACCAATTATGAGGGGTAAGACCAAATAACACCAAAATCACGGGGAAGCTAACTGTAACTATCGGTTTACCTTTTCAGTTCCTCCAGAAACAAGTAAGCTTCCACTGTCATTCATTGCCAATGCATAGACTGACTCTTTATGGCCTTTGGCAGCAATAGGACTATATCCATGTGACTGAGTCGTGTGGAGAGATATACTGCTGGCTGAACTAATTGAACAAAGACCTGTAATTGGCATCCCAGAATTTCCAGCACTAATAATACCATTTTCGCAATCATCCTCCATGGTCTCAGCTGACTTTGAGACAGGAACAAGGGCAGCTTCAAGATCCCATATGAAAACCTCCCCACCAAGTCCACCCGAGGCAACAATATTGCTCTAAAATGCATGACACTACAAAAAGATCAGAAACTCATGGTGACCAAATCAAAATTACTGCTCTCATGAATACAAAATAATGTGCAAAATATTAAAAAGGAACCCTTTCAACAATACTTTCAAAAGTTGAGTAAGCAATTACATTTTTTTTAGCAGTAGCAAGACAAGTGACATAGTCAGTATGTTGGCGCAGAGTTCTGCTACAAGCTCCGTCAGACAAGCAATTCCATGTCTGGCATACACCAATGAAGCAAGAAGGTCAATAATGACAGTACATATTTTTGGTGAATATTAACAATGCAATACTAATTTTTCAGAGTTTATGAACCTTAAGGGTTGTGTCTGAAGAACATGAAACAAGGGTGTTATTGCCTGCAAGGACAGCATCATTAACCTGCACAAAATACTCTGTTATAACCAGTAAATGCATTACTATACAGTAAAACAGGAGCTTGGGAAGCCAAATCTGTAGTCACTAAAAAAATTAAAAAAGAAACACAAAGAGAAAGATCTTTTTCTGATATCTTTTGAAGGGCTACACAACCGGGGGTAGCCCATCCCCCAACCCATAACCCCCCCAAACCCAGATGCAGGCAGGATTTGGTCCTTGCAAATTACAAAGAGAAAGATCAAAAGCTAAATAAAATAATCTCCCACAGAAAGATGTACAAACTCATACACAAACTCTAAAGGGGAGGAAAATTAAAACTTCAAGTACAAAGAAATCTATATCGTCGATTCCTTTTATCTTTTCAACAGGGAGCCCTTCTAGATATTCTCAACAGCCAGGGCCAACCCAGGCCAAAGAGGGGGTTTGGAAATAGTTTTCAACCAGCCATTGACGCACTTCAGTTAATACCTCACTAGCTGAGTATTGCCCCAGCACAAAGATATGGATGCCGCCAATTCACCATCAGTTTATCTTAACTATTAAGCTGCAATAGGTAACATAATAATAAAATCTTTCCATACCTCTATGATCTACAAGGAAAACAAGGGAAAATTAGTGTTCAACAATTCAAGGGGGACTCCTCTAGGGCAGAATTACTAGATGCCCTCCATGGGGTACAATTTGCAGTACAGCTAGGAGTGCAACAGCTACTAATAGAAGGTGACTCTAAGGTGGTGGTGGGGTGGCTGCAGAACCCAGAGAATGTTGTCTGGTGTTACAAAAATGAACTGAAAAAATTCAAGTGAAATACAAGGAATATATGTGCAAGGATACAACGGGTGGGGAGATCAGTTAATGGTATGGCTGACAGCATAGCCAAGCAAGGGGCAAATAGGGAACAATTGTATTGGGCACAGTTGTAATTTGATTTATTTTTAGTCTGTTAGGAGAGGTTGCAGCTCATGCCTCTCCCTAAACAGTTGTAACTTTTTATCTTCTTTCTATAATAAAATCTTCTTATTCATCAAAAAAAAAAAAAACAGTTCAGTCTATGCATAAATAATTATTCAAAATACTAGTACCTAGACATTATAAAATGCTAACCACAAAGATAATTGCAAATAACAGATTCAAAAACAAGATTGTACTGGGCTGTATTGTGAGATGTTACTTTGCTCTCTTGTAGAGAGCTAAGTCTTTTTAACTCTCTCTGGATTGTTGTGCCTATTTCTTATGAATCTAATGAAATTTTGTTATTGATCAAAAAAAACAGATTCAAAAACAAGATTTTTGAAGGGTGGTTCGGATCAATAAATGATTGAGGAGAGTTTGTTCATAGAGAGAAAAAGATAATCAAACCCCTTCACTCAAAAGATCCAAGTTAAAGGGACCAAAAGCACAGATATTAATAGCTGGCATAATTACACACAGACATGTTACATAATACATAAGTAAAGATTTAAGGAGCACGGCATTGATTAATGAAGTAAATAGTTAAAAGTATATACAGGGAAAGATGGGAAGCCAGGACAGTAACATTTGAAGTGTATTAGAAGCAATGGTCCAATCACTTGAAAAGGTCGATCGTTGGTTGCAACATCAGTCATGCAGGTATAGGAAATGTGTCAGAAATAACAGAAATGTGGCATGGGATATACTGTAAAATTATAACATAGTGGGGACATTGCGAAATATGCCAAAATCATCATCCAAGCCTTGTCCCAACCATATGGGGTGGGATACATGAATACTGTTTCGCCAATCCATACTGTTTAATGTCATATCCATTGTTAAATTACTGGCACTTAAATCATTTCCGACTACTACGCATGTTCTTTTTGGTCTAACCCTTGCCCTTCTAGCCCCTTCAACTTGTAACAAATCCTTACTCTTGTGGGTGTTGTTGGATGGTCTTCTATGCACATGACCAGATTTAACTCGAAGTGGTAATCGTGTTAATTAGGCGGGCAATATACCAGTCCACATATTATCTAGAATATTGTTTTTTGTAATAAATAAAAAAGAAAATTCATTAATGATAGAGAAAAGTACATCTGATAGTGATTAGATATTACTAGAAAACAAAACTACAGGGATAGTGAAACAAAACATAGAGGAGACATTGGAAAGAAAAAAGGAGAAATACATAAACCAAACAAAAGGGAAACTGTTAACCCAATACCAGAATGTTCCAAAAACCAGAGCCAAGGTCTTCTTTTGTGATTCCTTCAAACTATGGAAGAATGAGAACCCGGTCCATAATTCCTTTGCCACATAGTGATGTGATATGCTCCATTGGTCAAGCCTTCTCTTCAAAAATTCTTCCATTTCTTTCTTTCCAAACTTCCCAACAAACAGCGAAAGGAATACAGATCTAGGCGATCCTTTCCTTAACATTTCCCCTTGCCATTGGCCACTTAGAGAAAATCTCCTCCACAAAATTAGAGACCACCCGCTAGACTGAAGAGTCCAAAGAAAAAGGCCCAAATGAAATTGGAGGAAACGCACTCAACAAGCAAATGATAGACATTCTCATCAGCATTCTCACAGAGGTAGCATCTGCTAGCTAGGTGCAAGCCTCTATTTTGAAGATGGTTTATTGTCAAAATGCTATCCATCACCACTAGCCAAGCAAAAGCTTCCACCCTTGGGGAGACAAGGTTCCCCCAAAAGCCGTCCAACTCTGCATTTTCTCCAATTGACCTTGGCAAAACCTTGTAGAAAGATTTGACTAAAAATAGTCCATTTCTAGCTTCTTTCCACCAACCTGAATCCCTCCTTTCCACCTGAGTGTTGAGTTTCAGCTGACTGGAGTTCTTCCAGACGATCCAAACACTCATTAAATTCCCAATCAAAAAGCGATCTCCTAATTTTGGACACTATACTGCTCTACCTTGATTGACCTCAAAATTCTCTGCAACAGAGCTATTTTTCATACCCAACCTATACAGATGAGTGCAAAGATCACAGAGCTTTCCAATACCCAGCCAATCATCTTCCCAAAATTTGATTGTTGTACCATCACTAACTCTGAAGGACACAAGATTGAGAAAAGCTAACTGGAAACACATAATATCATTCCACACACTAACTCCATAGCATAACTTCACTTTTCTAGGTTCCCACCCAAATCCAGTAACCCCATATTTATATGCCACCACCCTTCTCCAAAACGCCTTCCTCTCCAACCCAAACCTCCACAACCAGTAAAAGAACTTTATTGAAAATCTTCAATCTTCTTATCCCCATCTTTGTTTTTTTTTTTTTGATAAATAACCCCCCCCCAACCTTTCTTTTCCTTGCAGACCTTATTCCACTTCACTAAGTGGAACTTCTTATATCCCTTTTAACTCCCCATAAGAACTCCTTTTGCAATTTTTCAATTGAGTCTATTACAGAAGTTGGAGCCTTTAAAAATGAAAGGTAATATACCCGGAGATTGGATAGCACAATCTTTATAAGAGTAATCCTTCCACTAAGAGATAGATACCTACCCTTCCATCTTGCTAGTCTTTGGAGTTTGGTCTATCCAGTTGAGAACTGGTTGCCAAGTAGAAGAGACTGAAGTTTTTGCCCCTATATTGTCGCTAACTTATTTTATAATACCATCTTTTGTACTCCACATAGTGCCAATAGTTTTCATTGGGGAATACATCAATTCCAGAAATATTTCACATTGATACTAATGGAAAGCGAAAATAATAGGAAATATGTGGACATTTTAAGTCATGGTGTTTTTTTCTTTATAAGTAAAAGTAAGTATTTATTAAAGAGCAATGAAGATAGGTACAAGCATCCCACAGAGAGGCACGAGGTCCTACCTCTTTTTTTGGTAATAAATAAAAAGGAAAATTTTATTAATAAAAAAGAAGAAGACAACAAATATTAGCTTCTCGGCTCTAACTCAGTAAAGACCAAAAACCACTTCCAAGATGTTCCTTGCAAAGCATCACTATTTGATCTCTATGATTTTTTTACTGCAAAGCATCATTATTTTATCTCTTCTTCTCACTCTGTCTTCAAAGATCCTCCCATTTCTTTCTTTTCAGGCTTCCCAACAAATGGAAAAGGGTACACAGCTCCAAGCAATCTTCTCCTTTTTATATCCTCATGTTGTAGCTCATCGAGCAAAAATCTCTCTTAGATGTCTAGGTTCCAAGAAGTCAATTTTGAATAGTCCAAAGGAAATTACATTCTCTTCTGCCACTTTGCATAAATAGCATCTTCCTTCCATCTAGACTCCCCTGCTTTAAATATGATACAAAGCTAGAATGCTATCCAGGACTACAAGCCAAGCAAATGCTTCCACAGTTCCACCCTTAGGAGAAAAGAGTCTCCACAAACTCCTCTCATACTGATTTCTCCACTTGATTCCTTACAGGGCATTATAGAAAGATTTAACAAATAAAATGTCATTTTAAATTTCCTTCCACCATCTTAAGTCCCTACCTCCAGTTTGCACTTCAACCAGCTGCAACTTTGATAATAAACTCACACATTCCTCCATCTCCCCATCAAAAAGAGGCCTTCTAAAGTACGGGCACCACACAACCCTTCATTGGATTACTTCAAAACTATCTGAAATAGACATATTTGTCTTGCTTAAGTTGTACAACCATGGACATACATCACATAGTTTACCAATCATCTTCAAAACTTCTAGGTATTACACTTTTGTTAGAAGAATTATCGTTTCTTGAAGGAGCAAGAAGCAATCAATTGTAGAATGATCAAGTGTTAAACTCAAGTATAGAGAAATGGCCCGCGGTGTCTTTGAGTTATTTTTTAAAACTAAGAAAGAAGAGCTTTATCAGTGGGCAACTTGTAATTCTCCTCCAATTCTTGAAACATTTCTCTTGTGAAAGATTCACCTCCCAGCACAATCAGGCCTAAATCTTCACTTACATCAACTACCACATCTGCAACCATAGTTAAATCAACAACACTATCGATCTTATGAGTCTCATCAATACAAGCTTCCTCCTCGCCTGCCTCACTAATTG